CACAGTTTTGAAATTGTCATGAACATTCAGATTCTCCATAATAGAGCTCTACAAACACTTTCTGCAATCATCTTGATCAAGTCCTCATATGTAAAATAAGCTGATTAAAGCAAGTGGGTTCAGATTCTTTCTATTTCCAAAACCCTAATGAAAAGGTCTTATATATTGAAAACACAAAATAAGGCAAAGTCTTAAGACAGAAATATAGAGCGATTAAAAAAAACAGATGGAAAGGACATGCTTGGAATGCTTGTAAGTAACTAAAAATTGGACAGAGGAACTGTGATGGGGCCAAAATGCCCCGGTTCTTAATGTTCTGGGTTCTGTTCATTCCTTTTACTGAAGTATTTCAAAAGTTCAGGGAAGTATACATTTCATCTGTGTACTCAGTGGTACCAGAAAATGCCACCCCAAAATATGTCTCTTTGGTATGTGGATTCTTTTGAGCTGAAGGCCATTGGGAACTATCACATACAGAGAAAGCTCTGAAAACAGGGCATAAGTTTTCCTTTCCCAAAAAGAAATTTATATTTACAAAGTCAATTTCCATTTGTAGAGATGTCTCCCTCTGAAGTATCAGGACTCTTGACCCTTAGCAGTGCAGAGGGCATGGTCTTAAATGTGCAAAAACACTACTTATTAAGAAACTCTTCTTTACCATATTTCTCCTGGTCATTTTCCTATGACTTTCCTCTCTCACCCAGAATCCCCAAACCTCTTTTCCTTTGGTGGTGTCTAACCCCACTTCTAACTACCTCTTCAGGCTACTCATTATTGAGGTTTCTCAAATGTACACGTGTGATGCACATTTTAGTAAACTTCTGTTTTTCTCTTGTTACTATATCTTGGTCCAATCTAGTTTACAGGACCCCAGCTGGAGAACCTTCCCTTTGGTATATCACTATATACTATAAAATAATTTTCCCGGGGCACCTGGGTGGCTCAGTCAGTTTAGTGTCCAACTCTTCGTTTCAGCCTAGGTCATCATCTTATGGTTCGTGAGTTTGAGCCCCATGGATCGTGAGTTTGAGCTGTCAGCACAGAGCCTTCGTGGGAATCTCTCTCTCTCTGACCTATCCTGCAGAAATCTCTCTCTCTCTCTCTTTCTCTCTCTCTCTCTCTCTCTCTGCCCCTGTCCTGCTTGCTTGTGCTCTCACTCTCTCAGAATAAATAAACTTAAAAATTTTTTTTTAAATAATTTTCCCTCTACCCTTCTGCGTCTTGACTGAGAGATTAGCAAGAGAAGAAACAGAAGTTCAACATGTATACATAATGGAAAAATTAGTAACTCCCTGAATTGGCTTAAGTACAGGCTTAAATACCGTCTTTAGCTAAAGACCAAAGAAAAGAAGGCGGGTTCTGGGAGGCTAGCAGGAAAAGCTCAGGAAGGAAGGGTGAGGCTTGTCTTGCAGATTTAAGTCTGCGCCTTCCGCATAGGTCAAGCCCTGCACCTTCTGTTCACCTTCCCCTTCCTCGGTCTTAGCAAGAATCCCGCTAGGTCAGCTTGGTGAGAATGTCCTCACCCTTGGTATTTGAACAACTTCCTTATCCCCTACCTTTGACATATAAGCTCTTAGCCTGTCTTCAGCAAGAATCCCGCTGCCCTTGATGACTTCATGAAGTTATTTTACACCCACTGCCCAGTCATTCTGCTGGTTGACTGTGAATCCTCAGCTGCCTTAGTGGTATTCAGACTTGAGCCTGCTCTGTCTCCCTATTGCAATACTCATGTTGCCACCGTCCTGAATAAAGTCTTCCTTACCGGTTGTTTCTCATATGTTGACATTTCAACAAGTGTCAGAATAATTTTTTTCTTTAGCAATAGCACATAATCAATTGTAACATTTTAGGATTCTTTTATTCTTAATTTTTAAAAAGATATAAAATGTTACATATGCAATTGCTACACATGGAAAGATGTTTAATATCATTCATAATGGAGCAATAAAATTAAAACTCTACTGAAATACTATTAATCTGACAGACTGGCAAAAATCTGGAAGTTTGACAATGTACTCTCCTGGTGAAGCTGTTCAGGAAAAAGGAACTTACATTGCTGACTGGATTGCAAAACACTAACACTTCTCTGGAAGGGGAGGGGTATTTGGCCATGTCTAGCAAAATTACATATGAATTTACCATTTGACCTAATAGTCCAACTTCTGGGAATATATCTTAAAATACGATGTACGTCTGTGATTATTCATTCCGGCACTACTTGTAAAAACAAAACATTGGAAACCACCCAGATGTTCAACAAGAGGGAAGTATTTGAATAATTACGATACTAGTTGAATATATTATGGTACAACTACACAATGGACTACTCTGCAGAAATGGGGAATCTCTCTCTACATATACACCAGTATTGAGTGATCTCCAGAATGTACTATGAAGTGAAAAAAAAGGGGGGGGGGATGTATGCTACCATCTAAAAAAAAAAGGGAGATATGGATAAACATATGATTAATTACAACTTAAAAATGAAAAAAATGAATCGTAAAAAATGTTTAAATCATTACCTATGGGTTAGGGAGTAGAATGGAGAAAGGATTTTTCAGTGTGAAGGATGGGAAGGATGTATGATCAAGGAATTGGAATTCAAAGTAAGATTCATGATGCATTTTATTATAAAAACAGACATCCCCCCCCGCAAAACAAGGCCATATTACCCAGCTCTCTTCATGAAATAGGTGATAAAAAACAATACAACTCAAGAAGAATCATCACCACAAACATTCAGATTTATAATACTTGAAAACCATTTCCCACTAAATGCACTTTGAATAAATCCTTATTACAGGTGTGGGGTAAGAAACGTATAAAAGCAGCCTGGCAAGCAAAGGCTAGTAGGGCCAACTTAAAAAGGACTCAGGAACCAAAGTGACTAAGCTCCTAATGGCCTATGGCAAAACCTGAGCCCTGAAGGGGAGTAGAATTTTGCCACCCCAAAATGTCTCTTTGACATAAGAATTTTGTTGAGCTCATTATCTTTAAGAAACAGCAGTCACAGGATAAACTGAAAACTGAGTAGAAGTTACCCTTTTGTAAGAGATGTTTCTGTGTACAAGGGAATTCCCCATTTGTAAGGGTGTCTTCTTGGCAGTACCAGGAAGAGGGGGATGACCAAATCTCTAGAAATTCGTATCACTGAAGAAGGCAAGGACTTAAATCTGCATCGCAGCTTTACCCTTGTTTACTGTGCTTTTCCGGTAACTTCCCTTAACTGACTCCCCACCCCAAACATCTTGTCCTCAGCTGAAGGTGATATTTGAGGTGATGGCTTCTGCCATTTCATGGAGTTCTTGTTTTCCCGTCTCTCCCATGGTATACAGGAGGTATACGTGTTATTAAACTTGTGTTTTTCTCTTGTTCATCTTTGTACCACAGGATTTTCTCAGCCAAGAACCAAGAGGAATGGAGGAAAAATTATTTTTTTTTCCCCCTTGCAGCACCAATAATGACAAGACCTGAATGGAGTACAAGTCATGAAATAGGTTTAATCCCCAGATTCATAATGACAGCTGTTCACTTTCAGGGCTTTTATCCACTAGGAATGGAATAGTTTAGGTCACATTCTAATTTCATTTTTCTTTGGAATAACCATTTGGTTAGCCCTACTTATTGACCATTTAATCCTTTCCTCCCTAATGTGTAATGCCGACATCACATCAAATTCATATATATATATGTATGTATATATAGTGTGTATATATCTTTTTTTCCTGGGCTTATCTGGTTCCTTCGTCCATCCATGTGCTGATAGGATACTGTTTTAATTACGACATTTTCATTATTTAACTTGGTGTCTGGTGGACAAGTCCCTTTACTCCTATTTCTTTCCCCTCAAAATTGTCTTGGATCCTGTATTTTTTTCCTACATGAATGTGAAAAGTATTAGAATGGCAACTTCAGTAGAAATAAAAATCCAATTTTTAAAAATTACCATCAATTCTACACTGGAAATATGAAGAAACGGGTAACTGAATAAACTTAACAGTAAATCACCAGGTTATACGACTGAGTTAAAAAGCAGTTATTTATTATACCTGAATGTTATTACATTCTTTTTCAGGAAGAGTATTTAAAGCTTTTGAAAGCTCCAAATGTGAAATTTTCCCTATACGGAAGCATATTCATGATCTTACTTTTTTGGTCAGGACAAGAACTGAAAAAGAGAAATAATCTTGACTTGAAAACGCACAAGTGTTGCTACATGTATTTTCCCACCTATATTTGGAAGGTTCTGCAACTTTCCGAGAAACAGGGACTGAACTGCACGCTGACCTAGCACGGAGGCCTGTATTTGAAAGTGTTTAGTCACCGGGAGCCTCGGCAGTTGTGTGTCCTGTTCGGTAACTGGGCAGAAGGGACCGGGGCAGGAAACGGGGACCTCGGGGCCTGGAATTCCCCGGCCGCCTGACCACGTGGCTGCGAGCGGGGAGCCGGGGGAGGTCGCCCCCGGGTCCCCGCTGTCCCTCGCGGCTCGTCACTGCGCGGGGCCGTCCCGGGGGCCCCGATCGGCCCGCCGCGCACACGCACTCACGGACACACGCACCCCCCGCAGGCACCCGCTGGCACCGGACAGGGCCGCGAGCCGCCCGGCCCAGGCCGCCGTCCTGACGCACGTGCTCCCAGGCCGTAACACCAACAGCTTAAGAACAAAGGACACACGCAGCGATTATGAACAGATGTAATTCCCGGGAGATTACGAAGTCCAGGCTTCGAAGTTAAGGCGCTGACGCTCGCCCGAGCCCCACCGGGACCGCCGCAACCGCCCCGCCCGGCCGAGCGCCCGCAGCGACCCTACGGCGCGGGATCCGGCGCCCACAGCGCAGGCGCAGGCGCAGGCGCCCTCGCCGCTCCGGAGGAATTCCGCGGGGCGCGCCCCGCTCCTCCGGAGGAAGTGAGTCTGGGGCGCCAGCTGGCGTGCGACCCGCCCTCTGACGCAAACGCCCGGCGCCGCGCTGACGGCAGCGTGCGTCAGCGCGTGCCCCGCCTGGGCGGGGGCTCGGGACGCCGGAGCGGTGCCGGCCGGCCGCTTCTCCGGTGGGCGCCGCGGCTCGGGCTCTCTGGAGGCCGCCGTGCCGTGTCCGCGGTGAGTGCGGCCCCGGTCCGGGCGCGGGGCGGATCCGGACGGGAACCCGGCGGTCGGGGCGCGCAGGCTGGCCGGGGGGAGGGGAAGGCCGCGAGTCCCCCGGCCGAGCGCTGGGCTCCGTGCTGTTCTCACTCGCCGACGCTCCCGTGAGGCCCGAGAGGCCCTGCCCGCAGGCTCGCGGGCGAGGGAACTCAGCCAAGCAGCCGGGAGGTGCGCTCCGGCCGCCGCCCCCGCCTCGTCGCTCGGACTCCGGCCGGTCAGCCGCCCAGCGTCCCCGCTGGTGCAACTTGGCTGCGGCCTCTGTAGGGCGGGGTCCGGGCCGCGGGGTTCCTCAGCTGCGGCCTAGGGAAGGTGTGGAGTGTGGGGGAGCGGGTCGCGGGGCTCGCTCGGCTGCGGCCTCGGGAAGGCTGAGGGCGGGCGCGGCTGCGGCCTCGGGAAGGCTGAGGGCGGGGGCGCGGGCTCGCTCGGCTGCGGCCTCGGGAAGGCGGAGGGCGGGGGTGCGGGGCTCCTCAGCTGAGGCCTCGGGAGGGCGGGGTCCGAGGCGCGGGACCCGGGGTGCGCAGGGCCCGGCCGCGGGGGTCCCTGGGCTGCGGCCTGGGAGGGCGGGGGCAGGAGCGCGGGATCCGGGCCGCGGGTCCCTCGGCTGCGGCGTCGCGAGGGCGGGGTCCCTCGGCTGGAGCCTCGGGAGGGCGGGGTCCGAGGTGAGGGAAGTGTGGCGCAGGCCCGCGCGCGTGCGGGTTCTCCAGCGGCTCTGCGCGCGGACGAGGTGTTCAGAAGAGCGAGCTCACGCCGCCTCTCTTGTCCCTGCCAGCTGCCTGGCCCTGCGGTCTCAGCGTTAGAACAGCGTGTTTGTCTGGTTACTACCGCACGGACCGCAGGCTGCGTCTTTCTCCGCTGCCGCCTTTCGCGTCTAGCAAACTGCCAGACCCGTCCTTAAGCCGTTAGGAGTTGGCACCAGAAGAGGGGGCACCGAGAACAGAGTAGCTTCCTATGTGCACTTGTCTGTCCTCAGAGCTGTACGTGTCTTAAAAATCATACTAGTGCTTGGAGGCGCCTGGGTGGCTCAGTCGATTCGGCGTCAGACTCTTAATTTCGGTTCAGGTCATGATCCTGGGGTCGTGGGATCAAGCCCTGCCTCGGGCTCTGTGCTGAGCGTGCAGTCTGCTTAAGATTCTTTCTCTTCCTCCTCTCTGCCTCTCCCCTGCTCATGCTAGCACTCTCCCTCTCATAATAGAAAAGGAATAGAAAAATACTAAAATTTGGGGCGCCTGGGTGGCTTAGTCGGTTAAGCGTCCGACTTTCGCTTAGGTCATGATCTCGCGGTTCGTGGGTTCGAGCCCCACATCGGGCTCTGTGCTGACTGCCAGCTCAGAGCCTGGAGCCTGTTTCAGTCTGCGACTCCCTCTCTCTCTGACCCTCCCCTGCTCACAGTGTCTCTCTCTCTCTCTCCTAGAAATAAATAAAAACATTAAAAAAAATTTAAAAAAAATACTAAAATTATTTGAGGGAAGGTATACTTGCTGCTAATGGGGTATGTTGCATTTATTTTAATTATTTTTCCAGTTGGAAAATTTTTGTGACAGTTTCTGGAGTTAAGGTGTGTTACCTAAAGTGTAAATCGTTCTTAGAGTTAGTGAATACACTGACTCTATCCACTTAGTCTATAAGTTGTTTACCATCAAAGTACGGTTTTTCTAAAATAGCTCTGTTTTTTTCTTTTCAGATTTTCAGCCTTGAAGAGTCGACTTTCCCCGCCCCTCCTCATTTCTGTCCCCTGCAGTAATAAATCGCATTATGGAGGACCCCATTATGGAGAAGCTTTATAAAGGGATATAGTGTTAATTATATGGAGTGTAATTTTGTGTATGAATTACAGTTTTAAAATACTAAGGGTTTTCAGAAAGAAGCCTAATAGGGTCATTTCCTGGTACATGTGCACAAATAGTAATTCTATTCATGGTAGTTTGTTATGCATTTGTGGTAACACTAGAAACAGCTGTATCTCCATAAGTTGACTTATCTCTACAAAATGAATATAGATACGTGATTTTCAAGTGAAAGGTTATTTGCTCTTTAAATGCAGTGTAAAAGTTTCTCTGGTGGAAATTTTATAGTTTATGAAGAAAATACCTTCAACTGATTAAGCATAATAAATTGGTAGGCAGAGTTATGAAGAAAGACAATGTGATGTTGCTGCAGGAAATGGAAACAGTTATAGACCATATTTAACAAAGGTGGAAGAGTTGGCTTTAGGGGAATTTCATTTCGTTAAACATCATACACACTGCATCAGGCATAGGTTGAATAAAGCTTGTGGGTGTTGATATCCCCAGAAGTAGTTACTGAAGTTAATGTAACTCATTTAAGTGAATTCTGTGGTGATAACCTCTGTGAAATTACCCTCTAGGTAATGACTATATGAAGACTATACTTGTTATTTACTAGAATAAAACAAGCACTATTTAAGTACAGTAAAGTGCTTGAAAGAAATCTGTGTATAGTTTTTCCCTCTTGAAGCATAATCAATAATTGGCTTCATAAATGAGCTTTGTAGCTTATAACTAAAGGTAAATAACTGGCATAATTAAGGTACATTGTAATTTAGAATTGTGGAAATATCAACCTCCTTGAAAAATCTGGCAGTTTTAACATCCCTTCATTCATGTATCAGCTTCTTTCAGGCCTTTATGTTAGTATTACACCAAATAATGAGCAAATAGCACTTGAGTTCCCTAAGAGTTAATATAATCTCAAACAGTACTAAATAGTATCTTGGTAATTAAGGACAGGTATTCGTCCCACCTGAGTGTAAACTCAGATATAAATCCTTAAAGAGGGTGTAGTGAACTTGATGTAAGCAGGAGCTTATCATTTGGTTCTTTTTTATGGTAAAAAGAAACTAATCTAGGGTGAAGATTTGAGAAACTTCATGTGAAGGCTTTTAGCCATCAAAAAAGTAAAATCACTCATGCACAAAACTACTTCCCAGAGACTTGGGCCAGGTTCTTCGTGTCAAAGAATTAAGAGTACGATGGAAGATAGCACTGTCTTCGCAAACCCGACAGTAGGCAGCAAACAGAGAATCCAGTATGACCTTTCGTGCGAGCTCTACAGGATGTCCACGTACTCCACCTTCCCCGCCGGCGTTCCCGTCTCCGAGCGGAGCCTCGCCCGGGCTGGGTTTTACTACACGGGTGTGAATGACAAGGTTAGATGCTTCTGCTGCGGCCTGATGCTGGACAACTGGAAACATGGAGACAGTCCTGTTGAAAAGCACAAACAGCTGTATCCTAGCTGTAGCTTTATTCACAGTCTCGCTTCCCTTACTAGTCTGGAATCCACCTCTAAGAATACTTCTCCAATGAGAAACAGTTTTCCACATTCGTTGTCTCCCTCTTCGGAACGTGGCGGCTCATTCAGCAGTTCTCATTCCAACCTTTCACCAAACCCTGTGAATTCTAGAGCCCTTGAAGACTTCTCCCCATTGAGGACTAACCCCTACAGTTACGCGATGAGTACTGAAGAGGCCCGATTTCTGACTTACCACATGTGGCCATTAACCTTCTTGTCACCCTCGGAACTGGCGAGAGCCGGCTTCTATTACATAGGGCCCGGGGACAAAGTGGCCTGCTTCGCCTGCGGTGGCACCCTAAGTAACTGGGAGCCGAAGGATGATGCTCTGTCAGAGCATCGGAGACATTTTCCCAACTGCCCGTTTCTGGAAAATTCTCTGGAGACGCTGAGGTTTAGCATTTCAAACCTGAGCATGCAGACACATGCAGCTCGGCTGAGGACGTTCGTGTGCTGGCCGTCAAGCGTCCCGGTGCGGCCCGAACAGCTCGCCGGTGCCGGCTTCTATTACGTGGGTGAGAGCTTAGCGCAGCAGTATGTATTTTCCAGGTCGCTTTGGTTTCGTAGTAGGAAGTGCGTGTTGAGCTTCGGTTTGTTTTCCTTAGGTCGCAATGATGACGTCAAATGCTTTTGTTGTGATGGTGGCTTAAGGTGTTGGGAATCTGGAGACGATCCATGGGTGGAGCACGCCAAGTGGTTTCCAAGGTAATTCTTCTGAAAGGTATTTCTGCACAAAACTCTGCTTACGAGAGGTGGATATGCTCGCGTGGTGTGTGTTTACAGTGCAGCATAACAGCTGCTTTCATGCCATCAGGGAACTGGTCTCCTAAAACACCAGATGTTAACAATTATTTTGATGAAAAGTGTTTCAGAATGTTGTCTTTTTTTTGTAAGCCATGTATTGAGGATGTAGTTTAATGACTCTCTTTGATGACTCTTTTACTCTTGCTGACTCATTTACAGTTGTGGCCACACATTTTATTGATGAGTTTCCCGTTTTGCTTTAAAGAAATCTCAAGGATCACAGGGATATGTAAAAATAGCACTAAGGAACACACATTGGAAAAAAGGAAAAAGAATAAGAAGTCATAAAATGATTCAGAAAAAGACATAAAAATACATGCAATAAAAGCTGGTTAAGTTTGATTATAATTTTAAATTATTTTTTCTGTACATGTTATCTTTTTTTTTTAAGTTGATTTATTTTGAGAGAGAGAATGAGCTGGTGAGGGACAGAGAAAGAGAGCGCGAGCATAAGTGGGGAAGGGGCAGAGAAATGGGGTCAGAGAATCTGAAGCAGGCTTTGTGCTGATAGAGAGCCCGATGCGAGATCATGACCTGAACCGAAATTGGATGCTTTACTGACTGAGCCCCCAGGTGCCCCCTGTGCAGTTTGTCTTGTGTTATGTTGCTCATCTCCTGTTAGTCACTGTGTCGTCAGTGGTGTCTCTTGTTGTATACTGTCCCCTACAAAGAATTGAGAGGCAGTATTGTTAATGGAAATAGAATATCTTCATTTTTCAGGAGCTCTGTGAACTTGGATGTAGTGTGACCCATTTGAAACTAGATAACTTTTTAAAATTGTGGTTAAAAATCATATCAGAATCTACCGTTTTCACCGTCTTTAAGTCTGTAGTTCTCTGGTATTAAGTGCATTCACATCGTTTCTCGTCATCACCACCCTCCCTTTCCAGACTTTCTCACCTTCCCAAGCTGTCACTTGTGCCTGTTGCCCTGCCGCCGGGACTCTCCTTCCTGTCTCTGTGAATCTGACTGAGCTGCGTGCCTCCCGTAAGTGGGACCGCACAGTACGGTGTTTTTCCCTGTGAATGCCTTTCACAGTAATGAGGAATCTCTTGAACCCCTTCAAGAAATTAAAACATCCTTTTGTCATTCTTATGTGATACAAGATAAAAAAGACACATGACATGAGAAAGATTTTATTATGCATCAGTACGTTGTTAAAAGTTGTGTTTTAAAATTTTATCTTTAACATTCACAATAGGAACATTTGACTTCTTAACTCTCAAAGTGATGTGTATCTTGCTGAAATTACTTATGTAGGAAAAAGCATGTTGTCAGAGTCTTCAGTGACTTGATTACCCTGGGCTCTGTGGGATTGTGAACACATAATTTGAAATTTAATACTGTATGAAAAAGACAAAAACAGTTTTCCAGTTCCAGTGTTTGAATTACTGCATTTTGCCCTTTGTAAAACCAAACCAAACCTTGGTTTATTTCTGTAATTTGTGTTTTGTTTTAGAAGGCCAAATAAGGGAAAAGACTTAGGGTGCTTTTTGTAAACCCTTCTGAAAACAGCAGATTTCAGGTGCGGATAATCTTTAATCTTTGTAAATACAAAATCAAACTAGATAATTGTTAATCACTGTATTGTAACAGTTCATTTGTCAAATATTTGGGTGTCTACTGGATGCTATTTTAGATGCTGGAGAGGTAGCAGTGACTAAGACAAATCTGTCTTTTATCAGATTTATTAGAGGACGGGAGATAACATTAATTAGGGTTCATTCTACTTCTGTTTTAATCATTATGAATATAAACTAATTGGTCCCAGAGTAAAAATAATTTCACGCTGCGTGAAGACCAAGAAGGTAGTGATGACCAGCTGTTTTATCTCCTTGATGATCAGTTGAAGTTGTGAGCAAGTCTGTATGATGTCTGTTGGTTTTACCAAATCACCAGTTGAAGGGCAGTTGGGAGTAATAATAAAGTCGCTGTAAACATTAATAAACCTCTGTGAACATATGTTTCCATTGTGCTTGGGTACATAGTTGGGCGTGGGATTGGTGGGTTGTATGGCAAGCTGTAAATTCCTGAGCAGCCCTGTGTTGTTTCCGGAAGCCTTCCTGCGGAGTAGGGGATCCACTTTCTTCCCTGCCTTTGGTGTTGGCAGGTTTTATTGTGGCCATTCTCCTGGGTGTGTCATGGTATTTTGCGGTGACCTCAGTGAGCACATCCTTAATGGTAAATGGTGGCTGGCTGCTCACTTGTCATCTACACACATTTTTTGGTGAAATGTCTGAATCATTTTGCCCATTACAAAAAATTTAATAAATTTTGAAAGTTCTTAAATTCTGGGTACAAGTTCTTTATTAAGAGTGTTTTTGCCAGCTTTAAGTTTGTGGCTTGTCTTTGCATTGTTGTAACAGTAGTTTTTAAGGATGTCAATTTTTCAGTTTTAGCTGGATCATGTTTTGGGTCTCTGCTGAGAAGTCTTAACTGACCTGAGGACAAGAAGATTTTCTGGTTTTCTTCTAGAAGTTACATTGCTTTAGGGTTAAAGTTTAGATCTGTGTTTCATTGTTAGTTTTTGCATGTAGTATGCAAAGGTAGAGGGTCATTGGTTATTTAGTGAATGGGTATTGAGTTGTTCAGAGCCAACTTACTGAAAAAGGAAAAGAATGGGATGCAAGTAGATGTTATGGGAATTTCTTGGAAGACCTTTAACAAGTTCTTCTGGTTTGTAAACAAGCATTTGGGAAACACTGTATAGATAGAAATACCTCCACGTTTTTTGGAGGAAAGGTGTGTGTGTCACATGTAATGGAAGAGTGGACCCTGGAGAGATATTATTAGTTATGACATCGTGAAATATCACATCTTAGGAATATCAAGTTGTGGTTTCTGAAGCTATGTGAAACCCTGCAAGTGAACTGTCCAGAACAGCGTTTTTCAAGCTTTAGCTTGTGCTCCCTCTGAGTTTCAAACCTTTTTATTGTTGTTGTGTGTTAATGTGATTAAATAGAAAATACTAGAATGTATCAACACATGGTAAGAGTTAGTGTTTTACAAGGATTTTTTTTCCTGTTTGATATGTACAAATGCATACATCCTTGTGTTGTGATATATAATGTTTATATTCTGGGGCACAATCAGTTTGAAACCACTTTTCTAGAATGATCAGGTTATATTTCTGGTATAAAATCCTTTTTAAAAGTAATTTTTCTCTTCTTTTTAGGTGTGAGTTTTTGATCCGCATGAAAGGGCAAGACTTTGTTGATGAGATTCAAGCTCGATACCCTCACCTTCTTGAGCAGGTAAGTTTTTATATTTGGCAACACTGAATTCTAAACAATAATGACAAAAAATATTACTAGGAGTAATATTTACATCTGTTTTCCTGTAAATTGTGGTTACTTTATGTCTAGCTAATGACCTGTAATTTTAATTTTTGTAACTATGTTGTTTAAGGCATTTTAGAAAAGATGTTTTGCTTTTATTTTAGTCTTCTGAAAAATCAATCTGCCAGTGTCCAAATCTGTGGTGTGGTTGGAGAAGGATCTGTAGTGTCTCCTCCATCTTTTCAAGGAAAAAACAAAAACCAACTTGTGGAGTTTGGAATTGCTGATAGTAGTCTAGCCAAAATAAGCCTTTTCAGTGGGATGAGAAACCGTTCATGTTTGTTCCTCCTTTCCTGAAAGAAGAGAAATACTTGAACTCTAGTTTGGAAATAGGTGAAGTTTAGGGGGATTTTTATGATGATTCAGGTAAAACAAGGCAAGACAGGTATATAAATTACCTAGTTTTCAGATGATTATGTACATTGCTTAACGTAAACTTACCTTAATGGTGCTCTGTTCAAGGTTTTGGAGAGTTTCGATTTTACCTGTTAATTTTTCTTCTGTTTTGTAGCTCTTGTCAACTTCAGATACTTCTGGAGATGAAAATACTGATCCACCAAGTATGTATGAAAATATTCCAAATATAGTATGGGAATCTTTATAAGAATGTTAAACACAAAAGAATATAAACAGGATTTGATTTCTGAGGACATAGGAAAAAGTGCGGGAAGGTTAACTAATAAATCTTCTATATTTACTAAGATTTGTGGTCTTTTTAGGGGATTGTGGCAAGTATACTAATCTTTGTTCTTAAAGTGCTGGTGTTGCACCTGGGGAGAGCAGATACCTGTGGAAGAGACCTAACCATCACAGGTAGCTCACACCATACAGATGAGAGGTGTGAGCAGTAAGCCCTCTGTAGAGGGGAAGTTTGCTGTGAGCTAGTGTGTTTGAAAAGGTCAGTTGACATGACTGAAGAATTGGGCTAGATCGAGATATTTATGAAGTATGTAGTATTTTAGTGCGAGGATAGGCGTTTAGTTAATGTATGTAAGTTACATATGTTAGTGTGTCCAAAATAGTGGAGGTCGCAGTCCACGGTTTCTGCTCTGCACTGAGAAAGGGGCTCTCCCGGGGCCACGCCGCTGAAAGGAGGAATGTTGTCGGAATTGCAGCAGGACAGAACGAGGTGACCGCCGTGCCCAAGAGATTTGGCAAGCATGACTGGGGAGGGCTCTTGAGGAGTGGAATTGTGTGCGACGTGGTCACTCCTTCCTGTGTGGTAGAACTGGAAAAGCTGGCAGGGCCCAGCGGTCCCGGGCCGCCCCGTCGCGGCTCCCTCAGAAAATCACTGTGACCTTTCCTCTCTCCCTAAGTTTCGACATCCTCTTCCCCGACTTCTTCACAGCTCGTACCCTTGCTTCCCGGATGCAGAGAGAACTGCGCCATCTCCCCAGCAGAGCCAGCGTCCGCAGTACAGCCTAGCGCCTCCTGTTCGATCCCTTGTGAAAGAACTGAAGCTAGCTCTTGAACTTGACCTTTGTCCTCATATCTCAGATTTGCTGCCAGCGGAAGAACTTGGCTTTGGCAGTGGTCTTCCCTTTCTGTCTCCAAGTTGCTTTTACTTCAGTGCGCCACCGTCGTGCGCCCTCGCCAACCCTGAGAGGACCGCTTCCTGCACCTGTGTTGTCTTCTAAGTGTTGTCTCACCTCTTGGCCTCCTTTTACAACAAAATGCGTAGAAAGAGTAATCTGAGCTTACTCTCTTCTTTTTCATTCTCTCTGTAACTTGCTCTGCTGATGGCTGTTCCTCCCGTGGTCACCAGGAACCACCAGCTCAGTAAATGCACTGATCTGTTCTCAGCCTTAGGAAGAGTTCAGTGCTACGCCCCTTTCCCCCCAGCTTTACTGGGGTGTAATTGACATGTGGCACTCTGTAAGTCTAGGGTGTGGAGTGCATGATTCAGCTACGCTAAGGTTAACACATCAGTCCCCTCACATAATTCTAGTTCTTTTGTGAGATAAGAATGTAGACGATTTATTGCTTTAGTGACTCAAGAGTGTGTAATACAGTATTGTCAGCTATCGCCAGTACACTGTATATCAGATCCTCACAGCATACTCATCTGATAAGGTCCATCCATGTTGCAAATGGGTTTCCTTTTTTATGGGTAATAATGTTCTGTCGTGTATGTATGCCTACATTTTCTTTATTCTGATCTGTTGATAGACACTTAGAGGTTGTCCTCACGAGTTGGCCATTATGAATCCTGGTGCAGTATACGTGGGAGTGCAGATAAATGTTTGAGAGAAGGATTTTGTTTCCTTCCAGTATATACACAGAAGTGGGATTGCTGGATCATAGGGAAGTTCCTTTTGTCATGTTTCAGGAATCTTCCCTACTGTTTTGCACAATGGCAGCACCAATTTACATGTCCACCAAGAGTGCCCCAGGCTTCCCTTTTCTACAGTCTTGGCAACACTTGTTATTTCTTGTCTTTTTGATTCTAGACATTTCAACAGGTGTGAGGTAATACCTCATTGTGGTTTTGATTTGCATTCCCCATTGGTTGGTGATGTTGAGCATCTTTTCATGTCTTTGTTGGCCATAGTATGTCTTCCATGGAAAAATACCTTCAGCTCCTTTGCCCATTTAAAATTTTTTGGCCATGGAATTCTATGAATTTGTGTGTTTGGATATTAACCACATCTCCCCTACAAGGTTTGCAGATATTTTCTTCCATTCTGTAGCGCGCATCTTCATTTTGTTGATGGTTTCTTTTGCTGTGCAGAAGCTTTTTAGTTTGATACAGTGCCTCTTACTGGTTTTTGCTTTTGTTTCTTGTACTTTTTATAGTGTCATACCCAAAAAATCCTTGCTACGGCCAATGTCAGGGAACTTTTTATTTGTATTTCCTTCTGGAGTTTTATGGCATCGGGGCTTGTATTTAAGTCTTTAATCCATTTCGAGTTAATTTTTGCGGTGGTATAAGGATGGGTCCAATTTCATTCTTTTTCATGTGAGTATCTGGTTTTCCCAGCATTGAAGGCTCGCTTTTCCCTGTTGACTAATTTTGGCACCCTTGTGAAATACTAGTTGATTTTGTATGCATGAATTTATTTTATTTCTGAGCTCTCTGTTCTGTGGGTCTTCTATGTCTCTTTCATTCCAGTACCATACTGTTTTCATTCCTTTTTTTTTTTTTTTAATTTTTTTAAAATGTTTTATTTATTTCTGGGAGAGTGAGAGAGAGAGACAGTGTGAGCAGGGGAGGGTCAGAGAGAGAGAGGGAGTCACAGACTCTGAAAACAGTCTCCAGGCTCTGAGCTGGCAGTCAGCACAGAGCCCAACGCGGGGCTTGAACCCACAAACTGCGAGATCATGACCTAAGCGAAAGTCGGACGCTTAACCGACTAAGCCACCCAGGCGCCCCACTGTTTTCATTCCTATAGCTTTGTAATGATAAGTTTGAAATCAGGAAGTGTGATGCTTCCAGGCTTGTTTTTTTTGTTTTTTTTTTTTTCCTTCCCTAATGATTACTTTGGCTATTTTGGGGTGAATTTGAGAATTTTTTTTCTATTTCTGTGCAGAAGTAACATTGGAATTTTGATAGAGATTGCATTGAATCTATAGATGGCTTTGGGTAGTATGGATATTTTAACAGTATTCTTCCAGGCTTTTTTGTTTTTTAAATCCATATCAGTATACAAATCTTTCACCTCCTGGGCTAAATTCTTTTAAGTATTTTACTGATTGAGATATAATTGACTATTTCATTGCTTTTAACGCTACTATAAATGGGATTATTTTTCTTTCAGATAGTATATTGTTAGTGTATAGAAATGTGATTTTTTTTAATTCTGCAGCTTTGGGAATTTGTTTATTGTAACAGTTTCTGGTGGAGTCCTTAGGATTTTGAATATATAAGATTGTGCTTGTCATCTGCAAACATATACAATTAAAACTGCTTTTGGGGCGCCTGGGTTTCTCAGTCGGTAAGCGTCCAGCTTCAGCTCAGGTCATGATCTCACGGTTCGTGGGTTGGAGCTCCGCGTCTGGCTGTGTGCTGACAGCTCAGAGCCTGGAGCCTGCTTCCGATTCTGTGTCTCCCTCTCTCTCTGACCCTCCCCTGCTCATGCTGTCTCTCTCTCTCTCAGAAATAAATAAAAAAACATTAAAAAATTTAAAATAACAACTGCTTTTTTATTTGGATGCTTTTTATTTATCTTCTTTTCTCATTTGTATAGCTGGGACTTCCAGTGCTAATAAAAGTTGTGAGAGTGGATACCCTTGTTTTATTCCGGATTTTAGAGGAAAAGGTTCCAGCTTTTTACCATTCGGCATAATGTTAGCTGTAGGTTTGTTATACATGGCCTTCATCATGTTGTGTCCTTCTGTACCCATGTTTGTCCTTTCTGTAGCCAGTTTGTTGAGAGCTTTTATTGTGAAAGGGTGTTGACTTCTCAAACTCAGATTTCTCACATTTTGCGTCTATTGAGTATTGAAAGGCTCATGTTCTTTTTATCCTTTATTAATGTTGTTTATCATGCTTACTTATTTGCATATGTTGAACTATCCTTGTATCCCAGAGATGAATCCCACTTCATCATATATGTGATCTTTTTAATGGGCTGTTGAATTCAGTTTGGTAGTATTTTGTTGAGAAAAATTTTTTTTAAGTTTTTATTTAAATTCCCATTAACACACAGTGTAATATTAGTTTCACGGGTACAATATAGTGATTCAACGCTTCCACACATCACCTGGTGCTCAACATAGCAAGTGCCCCCTGCTTAATCCCTCATTACCAGTTTCCCCCATTCTCCCACCCACCCTCTGGTGACCATCCTGTTCTCTGTAGTTAAGAGTCTGGTTCTTGGTTGGCTCTCTTTTATTTCCTTCCTTTTGCTTGTTTTGTTTTGTTTTTTAAGTTCCACATGAGTAAAATCATGTGATATTTTTCTTCTCTGGCTTATTTTGCTTAGCATAATATACACTAGCTCCATCCATGTTGTTCGAAATAGCAAGATCTCATTCTTTTTGATGGCTGAGGAATAATAGTCCACTGTGTATGTGTACCGGATCCTCCTCCATTCCTCAGTCGGTGGACTCTTGGGCTGTTTCCATAATTCGGCTGTTGTTGATAGTGCAACTATAAACATTGGGGTGCATCTATCCCTTGGAATTAGTGTATCTGTATCCTTTGGGTAAATACCTAGTAGTTCAATTGCTAAATGGTAGAGTAGTTCTATTTATAACTTTGAGGAACCTCCATACTCTTTTCTAGAGTGGCTGCACCAGTTTGCATTTCTACCAGTAATGTAAGTGGGTTCCCATTTCTCCTCATCTTCACCAATATCTGTTGTTTTCTGTGTTAATTTTAGCCATTCTCATTGTTGTGAGGGGATACATCATTGTGGATTTGATTTGTATTTCCCTGATGATGAGTGATGCTGAGCACTTCTCATGTGTCTTAGCCATCTGGATGTCGTCTTTGGAGAAATGTCTATTCGTGTCTTCTGCCCATTTAAGAGTCCCATGCTCTACCGACTGAGCTAGCCGGGCACTTCTGCCCATTTTTTTTTTTTTTTTAAATGTTTTTATTTATTTCTAGGAGAGA